TTATGACTAATCCACCAGAGACAGTTGCTAACCGAAACATAAAACTAATTACTTATAAGTTTATGCCACCAATAAGTTTGGACTGCAACGTATTTCATTTAATTTTGAGTTTCAAGTAATTTCTGTGTTTCAATACAGAACCTCTCTTGACTTTTGAAATTATATACAAAAGAGTTTGTTTTTATTCAATGGTAATTTATTAGATTTTATGCTACATTGAAACTGTATAGTTGTATGACATCCAACGGGAATAAAGACATTTGGAGTAAGATGTCTTTGCAACTTTATAACGCTTGAATGTTTATAGTATTTTAAGGCACTCAGTAAATATTTAGATAGTACATATAAAATTGGTAATCTAGATTAATGAGTAGGCTCATAAATGTATGTATTTAGTTTACTTATTTTTATAGTATTTGTGTTTCAATTTTATAATCCGGTTCCTTATAGTATAACTAAGAAGAAAAATTATTGAAGTGATTGAGTAAAATAAAAGTTATATAAGTAATTGAAATCTAATGTACAAAAAGTCACTTGTTCTTTAACTTCAGAAAGTGTATGAAATGTAGTATAATGTTGCGATAATAAAGTGCATAGATACTTTGAAATATTAATATTGTGTATATTCTATGACAAGAACAGAGATTTTTTTAATGCGCAAAATAAAATCAATTTTCTACATTTCAAATATAAACAAAATAATCCATATTACTAATTAAAGATGTTCGAGCACTGATTGCAGTAAAGTTCTAGAATGAATTCATGTCAAGAATTTTGACATCTCTTTATAAACGGGCGAGGGTTGGCCCTGTTTTAGAGCTCTGGATTTTGGAGCTGGCGAGCTATGTTCAAATCCTGTAATATTATAAGATATTTCCCGCACTTGAAGCTATAGATGTGTTATAAGTGTCAGTCAATCCTTTAGCGTGAATGGTGGATGGTAGGGTGTTGCTGACTGGCTGCTTTCCATACGGTCAATTGGTCAAAATCAGGGATGGCAGTAGATAGCCTTAGTAGTTTTGCCATAAATAAATAAAAGATACAAATACTATTTTAAAAACAAGGTTTTCGGCTTAAATAAAGTCATAGAAATGACGATAAAAGGTTTTGTTGTCATTGTTGTAACACTATGTAAAGTTTCTGGGTCGAGGATTTCAGTGTTTGGAGCTAAATGGCTAATGTGACAAAGATTAATTATCTTCTACAGTAGCTTTCAGAGATCCATATGTAATCCTCCAGATGGCTTAGAGAAAAGCCTAAGGGCTTATAACGCTAAAAATTGGTTTTCGATACCTACGGTAGGCAGAGCACAGATAGCCCACTTTGTGCTTAACAGCAAACAAAACCATTTTTGGTTGAATATTTATAATCTCAAAGGGTCCCACTGATTCAAATAAGATATTAGTGTACAAGATAGTAGAGAATTAAAATACATTTAAAAAAGTAAACTAGCTTACAACGTTAACAATATTATTAGAATCTCTGACTATTTATATACTGTTCAGTTTAATCATAAAAAGTAACATAGGAAAAACATTTTTAGCGGAGAAGAAAATTAGAAATATAAGATAAATATATAGAAAACGTGTAAGCTGAACTTAACTTTACAGTGAAATGAGGAAGTATGAATAAAACCTGAAAATATCATGCGCTAAACCACATGATGAACTCAACTTTGATATCACAGATTAGAACATATGTGGTCTAAGAAATTTTGTTGTTCAAACATATCCAAAAATGTGCTTCTTCTGCACATATATTGTTCAAGAGAACAGGTTGTATTGCGTAATTTAGGAAATATACTAGTTACACGTACGTACCGCCTCCGTGAGTAAACATGGTGCACACCACCTCCAGCAATCGATATTATCTTTAACGAACTTGTATTTGTAATTTATGACATCTCCTTTCGCAAATGAATTTCTTCTCATTAAACAGTATAACTTCCAGTCAGGTTCATTAGACATAATCGATACATATTCATAACGCCTCACACATAAAATGGAAGGGATGGACAAAAACATGATAAAGAAGTTTTGGATTCCATGATGACTCGATTATTATTAACTGCTGTTATACATGTGATGATTTTGTATTCTTATTTGATAAGAGCGCCGCTAGTAACTGCATGAAATTATTTCGCTCTTATTTATTCGCATGAAGTTTATTTCAAAAGTAACATAATATTCGTGCAAACCTTAACGGTTTAAGCTGAAATCCATGAAATATTATTATTTTGAAATGACTAGCTTTTAAATCCTAATGTTAACTTCTGACTCTAGTCATTAATCCATTGCTTTACTATTTGTTTCTTAGAATTTTGACTCATTTCTAGTATTTTTTTGTGAATGATGAACAACTTGTAATACATAATGCAAAAATATTTTATTTTGTATATGATCATAAGACAATAAGTTCAGATAATGGTTTTTATATACTCAGATTGATTAAGAGCAACTCTTCGAATAGATTCGACGACATGGTTAAACAACACTTCAGGTACTCTGTTTTTCAATTTTCTCTATTTAATTACAAGTCTCCCGGTGGGACAGCGGTAAGTCTATGTATTTGCAACGCTATAAGTCGAGGTTCGATTCGTTGCGATGGACACAGCTGATAGCTCAGTGTGGCTTTGCCTCAAAACAAAATGTAATTACAATAAGTATGTAAAGTTGCTCCTAGCTGAACGACTGTACTTCTTTATTTATATGGAACTCACTGTCCTTTTCCTTTTATTTATCATATAAATGTTTATTGTTTCTTAATTACCTAATGCAATTAATTGTTCTCAATACAATAATGACATTCATAGCAGCACTTTTACCTCACAGAAAGTTTACAGAATATTTCTTTGGGGCTTAATATTGTCAGGGTTCTATAACCAATAGTAATCATCTTCGTAACAAACACTTTTTGAAAACAAGATGGAGCATAAATTATTGATACAAACAAATCGTGAGTAGATACCGACTATTGTAAAAAAATCACTTCTTGAAATTTAGCGAAAACATAATGAAAATATTTAAGTTCAGTTGCAAAAAAAAACATTTTTAGGAAGACGTGAGAAATAAAACGTATGTAAATCTGATTTAGTAACTAGAATTAAAGCTCATAGATGTGGTTTATGTAAGTCACAGTTTTACTGCAGTTAGATTTTACGAGACTGTCTTATTTCATCTAGACGTTAAATACATACGAATATATATTTTAGCTACAGGTTGTGTTTCAAAATGTCCTCATCCATAAACTTCAAAGTATATTTTTTATCTTAAGAAGTTCGATTTACTTAATAAAAGCAGTTGAAAAAATAGACCATTTATTGAGATAGAGAGTTATTTTGATTTACATATATATGATAGTCATATATATTATTTTAAATGATAAAGTTTCGCTAACTTGTTGAACAAACAAGTAATGATAGCTCCAGCATTCTTTTATTTCCTAAATACTGTACACAAATTTGTAGTTCTTGTTAGCGACAATAGTTTATACTGGAAATTATCTGAAGTATTGTTTTCTTTTCTACTTTCTAGTCCTAACGCCTTCTTTAAAATGAGTGGCTAAAAGTCAACTTAAACAGTGTTAGTTGTTTGATCTAAAGTTAATCAGATACATTAAATGCACGCATGCTAGTGAAGAAAGTAGCCGATCTTCATATATGAGAGACTAATTAATAAAAATAATAATAACGTATCAAAATAAATACAGAAAGGGAATTGGTAATAACTTTTGAGCATATTAGCTACCATATATAAATACGAAAATATACCCTACTGGCAAAAATTCCCAACAATCTTAGGGTTAAAAGTAATGTTACAAATGTTGGAGGAGAGAGCCATAGCAAGGTTCTCAACAAGTTCAGGATTAAAAATAATGTTATAAAGGAAGGAGGTTAAAGTTGTAGCGCACTATTAAATAAAAGGCATACTCGTTCTACCTGCAGAATTAAACGTCGCGTCCGTTTGGCGTCGGCTTCCTTATTCTGCTGCCTACTTTCTCGCTCAGTTGATTTGTAATTCGCGACATTAAGTTGGTCAAATTGAAATGCCTGCTAAGCTAGAACCGTTTGTCAGATTACTTCTACATTTAAACTCGACCTTATCGAAATTGATTCAGTCAGTTTCTCACAATAACTTGTGACACAAGACAGACAGACACATGGACAACTTTACTTTATATATGAATAGTATATATGCAATTATAATTAAAATACATTTAAAGCCTAGAACCAATATAAAACTACGCCTAGTTAATCAAATAAAGATATGTTCAAATAAGCTTTCATTTAATATTAGTAGTCGATATAACAATGGTCTATTCACGTTAAGTTAGGCCTAAAATTAAACTTAAAATAAAAAAATTGGTAAAATGGTGTATTACATTTAACCACAAAACATCGTTCTAACAGAAGGTAACTAAATTTATTAAAACATTATACACTTAAACGTAAATGTGAGAATCTTAAAAAGTTATGATTAAATTTCAACTGTGAATCCCATTTGCTTTACTATCGAAAGGCATAGATAGGATCGTAAGATAAAGCTATAGGGTATTTTACAAATAAAAGTTATCTTTACTAAAAACAATATTTAGCAAAAAAATTATAAAAAAATGTAACAACATTCAGCCAACTTTAATAGCTTCTGTTGGTGAGAAGACTACCAACATAAATATATTATTTAAAATTATTAGACATTCACTTACTTCACAGATAAAACATTTGGTATTTTTAGAGTTGCATGTTAAACATTTAATCTCAGAATAGTTAGGTAAAATAACGAACTGGGAATATGGCTGTATATAAAGTGTTAAAATATAAATTTCTATAATATTACAAAATATTTTTCGGTATTTATTTAACCATGTTTATACGAAAAATAATACACAATCCTCATGCATACCTAAAATATATTATTTGTAGAAAATATTTTATTAATACGTATATATTTTTCATTATAAAAATGTATAGGTAGTTATTTTTTTAATACAGATCACCTTACCTTTTGGATGATTATCTAAAGATACGGGATCATCTGGTGAAAACGAATAGAATGATATTTTTGGAGATGAAGACCAACATAATTCTGCTTGAGTTAAATTAGAAGATATAGAACCAATTGCTGATGAACATGTACTTATCTCTTTGGAAAAATGACTGTCTTCTATCAGTAGTGGACAGTGGTCGTCAGGAATAAGGTGCAAGTAGCTTTCTTTATTGTTTTCTTTACTGGGTTTATTCAGTGCGGCTGTCTCCAGGAAACTATTGTATTTTCTATAAAACTTTGCATCATCAGCATATTTTTGTTCATGTTCCAGGTCAATGTCAGTCATATTTTGTTTATCTAAAGTACATCGTTTTAAGATCTTGTGCCCAAACGAACTATTACAGAAAGGTTTTACTCCTGTGTCCAGATGTTTATTGTTGCCATATGTTAAGTTCAGACTGTTCTCTTCATAAAGCTGAGCTGAAGAACTGGAAATAATCTTCGAATTTGATATTTTACTGCCACGCTTTGTAGAAGCTGGTTTGTCTTTGAAGCAAAGACTTTCGTTTCTAAGATTCTCGAAGATACAAGGTTCCTTACTTTGAAAATGAAGTTTTTCGTCATTAAACCCCAAATCTCCAAGGTCTTCTTCTTTCACTAGCGACTCCCCAACGTACGAGTGAATACAAGCACACTCATTCTCAGTCTGTAAACAATTTTCAACATCAGTAACGTTTTCTTTTCCACTCTTTAAAAGTGAATTCTGAAGAGAAATATCAGGATCTTCGAGAGATAGAAATGTTGGTGTTTGAATAAAATCTGAATTTGAGCTCAAAGGGTAAACATTGTTTATCTTAACAACAGAATCCACTTCTCTGTCTCTAATTCCTTTAAACCCTGTTTCAGCACATGTTGTTGGGGAGTGTGTACTTGATCGCTCGCTACTACAGCAAGAATTTGAAGAAAAACTCAAAGAAATAACTTCTTTCCACGAACTATTATGATGAATCCATTTCGTACTTTCTTTAGACTCGTCTTTCTTTTCAAACAAGTTTTCAAACATTGGATTGTCATCTGCCTCATCATCTTGAAGTTCATCAATATTTCCAGAAAGGCTCTTAAGAGCAGCCTCTGCTTCTTCTATTCTTCTTGTAAATTCATCAGTATCAGAGAACTTTCTCGGTTCTTCTTCTGATTGCTGGTTTTTCTCTTCCGTATAAGTACAGTCCCCTTCAACAACTTTCTCGTTAGAAATGAATTTACATTGTATTTCTTCTAGAAGTTTAAAATCGTTTCTTTGCTCTATTATGTTTTGATATTTTCTTTTCTTGATCCTTTTTGATTTCTCCACTTGAGTTTTATCATTGACAGAAGCTCTCATGTTTTGGTTACTAGTTAAATGGACATCCTTTAAGGAGTACACGTTTTAAGTTCAGCCCTTGTAAATTTCATTAACACTGATCAAAGCACTAGTCAAATTCATCATCACATTGCTATTTCCTTTACTTCTCACTTTATATATTTATATGTGTATATACTCTTATGACAGGTTTCAGTATTTGCAACCTAACTAACTTACAACCATATTATTTTCGCTCTGAAAGATTTGTAGATATTGAAAGATCAGGTTTTTTTCGCCCAAAATAAAAATTCATCAATGTCTTATACAGTTTCAATTTTGTCAACGACAGTAATACATCTGAAATATACACACGCAAGTGTAGAAATGTATATATATACATATGATTATGGTTTCTTATATAAATGACTTCCCATCCATTTCTTCTGTACGAGAAAGATTAGATTCTTTTGCTGACAAACTTCGGTTACTTCTTCGGAAATCTAAATATAAAGCAAAATAATTATTGTAGCATATATAAAAATAGTGACTACAAAAACATTATCAGGCTTAAAAAATTTCAAACACAATTCTATATAACAGATGATATACTACAGTGTTTCCCAAAGTGGGAGCCGCGGCCCCTATGGAGGCCGTAAAGCTTTTTTCTGGGGGCCCGCCAAAAAATGAGCCGAAACAAAGATGCTGAATTAATTTCAATTTTAAATAAACAATAAGTCAATTAAAATTATGTTGAATAAATTAATTGATACATTATGTCGAAAGGAGATGTTATTGTTTTTACTACGGCACTGTTTTTCAATCACTATGTTAAAGTTATAGGTTGGGGGGGGGGGGCTCAAGCTTTTTTATTCACACTAAGGGAACCTCAGACTAAACAGAGTTTGGGAACCACTGATATATTAGATTCCCTTATAGTGATATCAGTTTGACAGCTTTCAAATGATTTTGTAATATTTTAGACTATTTTGTTCATTTTAACTTTGGTGCTAAAAACAGCTTAAAACCTACCTAATTTGACGCTTAACAACAAGAAATACATTTAGGATTAATTTACACACAAGGGGCGCGTAAACAGCGGCAAAAAGAGATTAGTTACATTGTGTGTAGAATCAAATTTTAATTAGACGTATACAAAGAGCTTTAATACTGTTTTTAATACAAAAATAAACAAACTCTATAAACTGACTTTCCTACGGAACTAATTTTTCAACAAATTGCTAACCCAAAACAGATTAGCAATTCACTTCTTTCTAAACGTTGAATCGATATAGTGCACAGAATAGGTTAAAACTAAGTAGTTATAGTCGCTCCTCTTGTACCCCTTATGATAGTCGCTCGAAATGACCCAAACTAGTTAGGTTTTGTCTTTATTTTTAAACCTCTTTTACTCCAATACAGTTTTACTCATGTATTTCAAAGTTTTATTGAATTCCCATTAACTTATCTTTTGTAAGTTTTGCACAGATGTAAAAGTGATAAGAAAACAGAGCGATGGTGCTACATTGAAAAATTATTCGATTTTTTGGGGGTGGAGAGAAGGAAGGACTTATAAACAATACGAGACTAAATCATATAAAATTCAGTCATCAGACACTGAGAGGATTAAAATATTGAAATTAAACGTATAATTAAAGAACTATTATCGCACATAATATAAATGACACCAATAATTTATACATATATTCAAACTTCTCTCATACAAACACACTCCTTAGTACCTACGAACCTACTCAAATTTTAATTTTTTTTCATTAATTACTAGACCCGCATTTTAAATCAACATTTACATTTGAATCTTGAATAATTACAACAAATTATATCTTTATCTCCAGACCACGTCTTAATTTTCTGCTGCTAAGTACAACGTTTCTCTCACTTGAGACTGTCTAACTTTAACTTTCTTCTGCTAAGAACGGAGTTTTTAAAGGCTTTGTTTTGTGGCTATATGTTAATCTTCTTCTGTTCTATATGGTGCCTTTTAAAGTTCTATACTGAGGCTATTTCTTTTCTCTATCAAATGCGGTGTTGTTGTTATTTGAATTCTGTATTGATACAGTCTCTAAACTTTATCCTGTCAAAAAATGATACCACGTATGGTTCCGTCTTGAAACTATACCTTAACGTTATTCTGATAAAAAATATGCTTCTTTAAAACTATTTTGCAACCAAGTCTAATTACTTCTCCTTATCAAATATGATGTACCTTAATGTTTCTTTTATGTTTGTTTGTTGTTAAGCACAAAGCTACACAATGGCTTAGCTATACTATCCCCACCGCGAGTGTTGAAACCCAATTTTTAGCATTATAAGCCCTCAGACTTACCGCTGAGCCCTAAGAAGACTGTAGATATTAACTTATATAATACTTTTTCAAATCAGATAGATCTTCCGTCGCTCAGTCCTGAAACCTATCTATATATATCACTTTTCAAAATAAAAGTCAAGTTCGTGTGTAAAGGAACAGAAAACTGTAATGATGTTATTCGTATTTAATTGTCTGTATTCATTCATCAGTAAAATAGTACAAATAGTACATAAAAAAGTACACATGCTTCTTTCTATTTTCAAGAACTTTTTGAATTTTTTAAACAAAAAAAAACAAATCTTCATGACAATTTAAAAAGGATTTTGTCCATAAAATGTATTTGTTATTTTGAAAAAAATTTGCGCAACCATTTCTTTCAGCATAAGTTTAAATATCACTTAATAGATCTAAATCTTTACCAAAAGATCTCATATGTGTAGTATAGCGATGCCGAATATTAGTGACGAACTTTCATTATGTTAAAGTTCTGGTTCGTTTTATTTTATTTTATTTTGTAATCGAAATCAAGTTATTACATACATTTATGTTATTCTTAAAACTTGAATTTCAGCCTGAACATCACTTTATGCGCACGTATGCTAAGCGGATAGGTCAAAGACCTCTACGGTCTGAATTTAGACATCGATAATCTTGGATTACTAAGTAAGCAGAGGGTGGGAAATCAGCCAGAAACACCTGCTGGCAAAGGACTTTATCCGTGTCTTTGAAACAAATAATAATATTATCTGCCACTTTTATAACGCGCCGACAGCTGATAATTGGGGGAGGATTCAGCAGCATCACGTCTCGAGCTCTTAAATCCTTCGACCTGCAACCCGATACGCTAATCATTAGGATACGCCCGGCTGTATATACCCTTATTACTACTCTTTATTACTATTACTACTCTCTATACTATTTAGTAAAATGCAATAGATCGAACAACTGTAGTATCCGTTCCTATCTACAAGCACAGAGAATATCTAATCTTGTAGAAACGTCGTATGCACAAAATTCCATTTGTGTGGCATAGCGCTCTATATTTCTTCTATTGCAAGGTAATAATTTTGAATACAAAAAATAAATTACCCGGAAGAATAGCGTTAAAGCTTCTATTTCCACTTTATGCCGACAGATGTCTGAAACTAGCAAAGTCTTGGTACAACGAAATTGATGATTATTATATCGTACAAATTGCGCTTATTCTTCAGTTTAAATGAACTAGGCGTGCCCAGCTCTTTGGAGCTGTGGGTGTGCTACAATAGTGAGAGTGAAACCCATTTGCTCGATTAGAGTAACTCAAAATTTGATAAGCTACCTTTCTTCTAATCTATCAGTTCAAAATTAGGGACGGCTATGCACACATAGCCTTTGTATAACTCCGTGAGAAACTCTGTAAGAAAGAAAAGAAATAATCATTTAAATGTGTAAATTTTACACTAAAATTACATTTCACGTAGAGATAGACCATTGACTTATGAAAATCATCATTAGGTTATTATATGAAGTATTTCTTTTGAAAACGAAAGTTATTAGTCAAATTATAAATTCTATAAATGTTTCATACAGATTTAACAAATTTAGAGCGATAATTTTGTTTTAGATCTTTTTGTTTCTAAAATATATTATTCAACATACAACTAAACTTTAAAAAAGTTTCAGAGAGATTGGACATTACACTATTATTTTTAATAATTTTGTTTGTTTGTAGTTAAGCACAAAGCTACACAATGGGCTGTTTGTACTCTGCCCACGACGAATATTAAAACCCGGTTTATTAGCGTCATAAGATTGCAGACTTGTCGCTATTTTACTGGGGGGCATTTTTAATGGAGAAGCTATGGATCATATATAATGGGCGTTGCTCAGTACGTGTATAAGAAAACACGAAAATATGTCTTATTTCAATTTTTTTTTGGCACCACCACCTCCCAATGTTTAAAAGAATATTAATATAGCTAAACAAGCATTATTTCTTTGTACTTCTTACTTTATTTGTAAGTTATAGCATCTCTAATGCATAATTCATCTAGTGGAACTAACTCTCGTAGAGCCAGCCGCCTCACGAAATTTTTGAATTGCTCGTTCACTTAAAAAAAGAAAGATATATTATGGCATCATGTTATATGATTCATAGAATAAAATGCAAAACTTGGATGTTCTTTACAGTTTGAAACTTTAAAGTCATGGATAAACAAAAACATCTCCGTATTGTTCATCTAAATGTAGAAAATTATAGGTGCTTAATCACGTATAAAAATCTTGGAAAACTTCAAACTGATAGAGCATTATTCTGATAGTTTGCTATACTGTTTCTCTACTATTGATTTACTTCATCATAAGAACGAGAGGAAAGATACACTTTGTAGTGACCATGATACCTACTTTTTCTTAAGCCTATGTGGTGAGTTTTTATGAGTACTTTGGGTTTGCACAGTACCTTAAACTTATTAGTGTATCGTATTGCTCAGTTAAGGAGGATTTTCGAGGTAAATTGTATATCAGAAGTACACAACCCTAGGATGTAGTTGCACCATTAGACATCCTTCTATTCTGGGCGAATAGAATTAACAAGCTTCCTTTACCACACGGTCGTCATGGAAACGGTAGCATCTGTTCCGCGAGAAAGTAAATCAACGTGGTGGTCGATTGGCTTAGCCCATTCAAATTTTGATCTTTCGCTTCCAACAAGACCACATACGACACATATGAA